CCCTCCCTTTCCAAAACCAGTCCTTCCTTCCCTGCTTCGTACTCTCTCCATAACCAACTCTTTTCTTTCAGAAGCCTCCTTTCTCTTGATATTTTCTCCTCAGCTCAGGTTTTTTCCCACTGCCTTCCTTCCCTTTGAGGCGGCTGCTTCGCTCCGGCTTTCCTTGTGTCCCTTTTGGGGCGATGCCCACTTTCAAGGGGCGGCACGGCCCTTATTTTGACGCTCTCTCCATGGAACTGTATTGATTTGTTTCCCCCTCCGTTGATCTATATCTCTCTCTATATGGCCTATTTTTGTGCGTGTGTGTGTCCGTCCTGGACGGCTTCTCGCTGGGGCTTTGGCCTGCGGTGTCTTCCTTTGCCCACTCCTTTCATTTTCTCCTTGCACTTGTCTGGTCAAGACACTGGCTTTTTTGGGGGGGAAGAGGGGGACTTTTTATGATTTTTTTTTAAAAAACGTGGTATATTTAATGGTGTTGCATCTTGGAAAACGAGGCGAGGCTTTGGAGCTATGGCAGAGGTGGCTTGCAAAATAATTTGTGCAAAAAATAATATTTTCAGGGAAATAGTGAGACTAGATGACCTCTGGAGACCCCTTTTGCTTCCATGCAAAGGCCCACCGAGAGCCTCGGCCAGTTGGCACCCCATAATAACCCCCAAATCCGATGCCATAGCTCCATTGCCTCCTTCGGACATGTCTACTGCCTGCTGCCCTTTTGTCCCCCGGATTACACTGTACATTAGCAATTAAAAGGAAAATATTGTAACTTCTGCCTGCCTTTGGGAGTATTTTTTGCTTTTTTCGTCATTCCGGGAGTTGTAGTTTTGCTAGTTTTGCAGACTGACCCCAGTAGGACCTCAATGGTGCAAGGCTATGGAGTCCTGGGAACTGTAGTTTCCTCATTTAACCTCAGCAGACTGGAAGCCAAAACCAAGGTTACAACATCTGTTATAGAACTCCAGTATGCTGATGACAACGTCATCTGTGCACATTCAGAAGACCTACAAGCAAGAACTTCATCTAGTTGGAACCACAGGGTGCCCAAACAAATTTGTGAACATCCTGTGGCTCCTCCACGATGACATGATGGCAACAGTCTTGGACAGCAAGGACTCCCAAAGTGACCCGTTTAAGGTGGAATCAGGTGTCAAACAGGAATGATGTGTTATTGCCCCAACTTTATTCTCCATCTTCATTGCTATGATACTTCACCTTGTTGATGGGAAGCTTCCCACCGGAGTGAAAATCATCTATTGGACAGATGGCAAGCTATTTAACCTCAGCTGAAAGCCAAAACCAAGGTTACAACAACATCTGTTATAGAACTCCAGTATGCTCAACGCCTGTGAAACGTGGACTGTCTACAGACATCAACACTGACACTGAAATACAACACCTCCTGAGGTCTGCGAGTGCAGCATTTCTACGAATGAAGCAGAGAGTGTTTGAGGACCGGGACATCCGTAGGGATACCAAGGGGCTTGTTTATAAAGCTATTGTCCTCCCAACCCTGCTATATGCCTGCGAAACGTGGACTGTCTACAGACGTCAACACTGACACTGAAATACAACACCGCCTGAGCTCTGCGAGTGCAGCATTCTTCCAAATGAAGCAGAGAGTGTTTGAGGACTAGGACATCCGTAGGGAGACCAAGGGGCTTGTTTATAAAGCCATTGTCTTCCCAACCCTGCTATATGCCTGCGAAACGTGGACTGTCTACAGATGTCAACATTGACAATGAAATACAACACCGCCTGAGCTCTGCGAGTGCAGCATTTCTCCGAATGAAGCAGAGAGTGTTTGAGGACCAGGACATCTGTAGGGAGACCAAGGGGCTTGTTGATAAAGCCATTCTCCTCCCAACCCTGCTATACGCCTGCAAAACATGGACTGTCTACAGACGTCAACACTGACACTGAAATACAACACGGCCTGAGCTCTGTGAGTGCAGCATTTTTCCGAATGAAGCAGAGAGTGTTTGAGGACTGGGACATCCGTAGGGATACCAAGGTGCTTGTTTATAAAGCTATTTCCTCCCAACCCTGCTATACGCCTGTGAAATGTGGACTTCTCCGCAAAAGTCAACATTGACACTGAAATTCAACACCGCCTGAGCTCTGCAAGTGCAGCATTTTTCCGAATGAAACAGATAGTGTTTGAGGACCGGGACATCCGTAGAGAAACCAAAGGTGCTTGTTTATAAAGCTATTGTCCTCCCAACCCTGCTCTATGCCTGCGAAATGTGGACTGTCTACAGACGTCACATGCAACTCCTGGAACGATTCTATCAGCGCTGCCTCTGGAAAATCCTGCAAATCTCTTGGGAAGACAAGCGGACAAATGTCAGCGTGCTGGAAGAAGCAAAGACCACCAGCATTGAAGCGATGGTCCTCCACCATCAACTCCGCTGGACCGGCCATGTTGTCCGGATGCCCGACCACTGTCTCCCAAAGCAGTTGCTCTACTCCGAACTCAAGAACAGAAAACTGAATGTTGGTGGGCAGAAAAGAGATTGAAAGATGGGCTCAAAGCCAACCTTAAAAACTCTGGCATAGACACTGAGAACTGGGAAGCCCTGGCCCTTGAGCGCTCCAGCTGGAGGTCAGCTGTGACCAGCAGTGCTGCAGAATTTGAAGAGGCATGAATGGAGGGTGAAAGAGAGAAACGTGCCAAGAGGAAGGCATGTCAAGCCAACCTCGACCGGGACCGCCTTCTGTCTGGAAACCGATGCCCTCACTGTGGGAGAAGATGCAGGTCAAGAATAGGGCTCCACAGTCACCTACGGACCCACCTACTCGGACAACGAAGGATTTCCTAAGTAAGTCAGTCAGTAAGTAAGTAAGTTTGCACTCTTCAGCAGCAAAGCTTTGAGACCTTGGAAAACTAGAACTCTCAGGATTACCATCGCACGGAGCCTTTGACAGTTCAAACCGTGCCAAACAGCATTCGTTCTGCAGTGTAAGTGCAAGCAAAACATCTCCTTTTAGCATCGGATATTTTTGCAGATGTTCCCGCATTCTTTCTTCTTGGGAAAGGAAACTTGGAGAAAACTTGGCTCCGTTTCCCATTTATTTTTATTTTGCTTGCATATTTCATTTTTTGCCTTACAAGGTAGTCAGAAAGCCGGCTCCCGTCTTTTACGATTGGACCTATTTTTGGCCCTCCGTTCGCCCAGCCTGCTGTTATTTGCAAAATTTGCAAAACTAAGGAATTAAATTTGCAAAACCAAGGAATTAAAATTTGCAAAACCAAGGAATGTAGTCCTAATGTCTAAAGGATGGTCCATTCTGGGTGCATTCTACACTGTTGAATTAATGCAGTTTGAAACCTGGAACGGATTCTCTGTCCCACTGAAACATGCTAAGCAGGGACAGCCCTGGTTGGCATTTGGATGGGAGAGCGCAAGGGACACCATGCCATATTATAGAGGAAGAAACTGGCCAAAATCCTATTTCTATATAGTTTCGGCCACCTAGGAGAGCTCTTTCTGAGCCATTCCTAAACCTGGAACGGATTCTCCGTCCCTTTGAAACAAGCTAAGCAGGGACAGCCCTGGTTGGCATTTGAATGGGAGACCGCAAGGGACACCATGCCATATTTCAGAGGAAGAAACTGGCAAAAATCTTATTTCTATATTGTTTTGGCCACCTCGAAGAGGTCTTTCCAAGCCATTCCTAAACCTGGAATAGATTCTCCGTCCCTTTGAAACAAGCTAAGCAGGGACAGCCCTGGTTGGCATTTGYATGGGAGACCGCAAGGGARACCATGCCATATTTCAGAGGAAGAAACTGGCAAAAATCTTATTTCTATATWYTTTRGGRCACCTCGYAGAGSTCTTTCCWAYCCATTCCTAAACCTGGAATYGARTCTCCYTCCRWRTGAAACAWGCTAAGCAGGGACAGCCCTGGTTGGCATTTGGATGGGAGACCGCAAGGGATACCATGCCATATTTCAGAGGAAGAAACRGGCAAAAATCTTATTTCTATATAGTTTCGGCCACCTCGGAGAGCTCTTTCCGAACCATTCCTAAACCTGGAATGGACTCTCCATCCCGCTGAAACATGCTAAGCAGAAACAGCCCAGGTTGGCATTTGGATGGGAGATCGCAAGGGATACCATGCCATATTTCAGAGGAAGGAACTGGCAAAAATCATTTTTCTATATAGTTTCGGCTATCTCTGAGAGCTCTTTCCAAGCCATTCCTAAACCTAGAATGGATTCTCCATCCCGATGAAACAAGCTAAGCAGGGACAGCCCTGGGTGGCATTTGGATTGGAGACCGCAAGGAATACCATGACGTATTTCAGAGGCAGAAACTGGCAAAAATCTTATTTCTATATAATTTCGGCCACCTTGGAGAGCTCTTTCCGAGCCATTCCTAAACCTGGAATGGATTCTCTGTCTTACTCAAATATGCTAAGCAGGGACATCCCTGGTTGGCATTTGGATGGAAGACCGCAAGGAATACCATGCCATATTTCAGAGGAAGAAACCGGCAAAAAATCTTATTTCTATATAATTTCAGCCACCTTGGAGAGCTCTTTCCGAGCCATTCCTAAACTTGGAACGGATTTTCCGTCCCACTGAAACATGCTAAGCAGGGACAGTCCTGGTTGGCATTTGGATGGGAGACCGCAAGGAATACCATACCTTATTTCAGAGGAAGAAACCTGCAAAAATCCTATTTCTATATAGTTTCGTCCACCTTGGAGAGCTCTTTCCAAGCCATTCCTAAACCTGGAACG